GGGTGGTTACATTGGTTGTGAAATATCTATGGGAACATATTATACTGTATGAGGAGATTCAACATGTTATGTATGGTTAAAGTAAAAGGATATGTGGTTAAGAGTATGGTGGATTGACGTAATTCCATGATCTTCAAGGAGAAGATTCATGGTGGTGCCTTAGTGTTTAGAATTATCTGCAGGGAAGCTTAGTCTTGGGGGTTTTCCTGACGTTCCAATGGTCTTTTATTCTCAAGTAGAGAGGATTGAACCATGTGGTGAGGAGTAGCAGGAGGTCTTAGTCTTGGGAGCTTCCAGTATGCCTCAAGGCCCGGAACAGGCTAACCTCGTGAGTGTGGTAGGGTGGGGAACCCAAGTTTCATAAGCCACCACGAGTGCATAACCCGCCATAGCTCGGTAGTCATTCTAAGTCCGGACGAGTCAAGTCTAGTTTATGACATGTTCCTTTGTATGATTTAACTTGCTTGGCTTAAAGTATTTGTTTGATGAATTGTTTACTCTAATATAGTATGCTTGCTTGTAAAAAGTAGCTCACTCTTGCTTGTGTATTCGTGCTTTGTTTGGGTATGCTTTCTGTTGCAATGATCATCCAAAATTGGATGTGAGCAGATGAAGTGGAGGTGTCTGTGGAGCAAGCGCTGGAAGACGATGATGATGCAACTTAGTATGTTTAGGATCTTGATTAGTAGTATTATTCTGATGATAATTCCCAGTGGTCCTTTATGTTTAAAAGACCAAATTTGATTTTATTTTGGATGACTGTAACCAATATAGTATGTTATATGTCTCTAACTGCTTTCCAATATTATAACTGAATGACGTCTTTATTATATATGCATTTCGTATATTTTGAGATGTCACAGGTAACGGATGTATCCACATCTGTTTAAATTTTATGTTCTTTTTTTAGTTTTAGTTAATTAATTTGTTGTATTAATAATAATTATTTAATTAAATAAAATAAAATTAATTTACGTAATATATTATAATAATCTATTAATTAAAATATATTATTTAAATAAACTAAAAATTTAAAAAAAAAACTTAAACGTGACCACATCCGTTGATTATAATTAATTAAAAAAATTTATAATTTAATTAAATTAATAATTATTATTTAATTAAATAAAATAAATTAATTTATTACGTAATTATATATAAATTAATTTTATTTAATAAAATAATTATTATTAATTTAATTTATGTATTATTATTTAATTAATTATTTAAATATTTTTTATATAATTACTTAAATGGATGATCCATTCAGGTTTTCTTTATTTTATTATTTTAGTTTTTAGTTTATTAGTTTATTGTATTTTAAATTAATATATAAATATCATTTAAATCTTTTTAAAATTTATTACGTAATTATATATAATTTTATTTTATTTTATTTAGTAAAATAATTATTAATAATTTAATTTATGTATTTTTATTTAATTAATTATTTAAATATTTTTTATATAATTACTTAAACGTATGTGTCACATCCGTTAATGGATTGGCCACATCTGTTAAGATTTTTTTTAAGTTTTTAGTTTATTAATTTATTGTATTTTAAATTAATATCTAAATATTTTTTTATATTTTAAATTAATTTATGAAGTATTTCATTTTTTTGTTTTTATAATAAATTATGTAAATAAAAAATATTATTAAAAAAATCTAAAATAAAAACAATAAACTAAAATATAATAAAGAAAGTTAAAATATGTAAAAGGATGTCAACATCCATTAAAGGTAAAATGGATGTTGACATTCGTTTTATAACAAGGATACGTTAGATATGAAGTGATGTAGAAAACATTTGGTGGTGGTAGAGGAACAAGACTCACCTCATATTTATTTGTGAACGAAAAAAATATCGTTTCTAACATGTCCAAGGAATTTCTTCCTGTACCTCCAATTTTTCTTACTGTACTTTCAAAACTGTGGTACCAAATAAGTCCTTTGAAAAAAACTTATGTATATATATAAATATATATAATATTAAATAAATTATGTAAACAGTAATTATTATTACTTTTTATCAAACATATTTACATAATTTGAAACTTCACTCATTGGTTCATCTTCCTTCAGGTCTACATATTATATTCATTTTTGTAGATATTTTTCGTTCATCTTTATTTGAAATTGAATATTTAATTTTATTATATTTTGCACATTTCAAAATTTAAAATCCAGATTTGTAAAAATATTTATCAGATTTTGTGATTCAGTTTAAGAAATTCACCGAATTTCGATTAAGAAAATTTACTAAATTTCGAAACTTATGTTTTTTCTCAAATTTTAAAATACAAATCAACTTTGTTTCAAATTTCAAAATTTGATATTGTTTTTATTTTATTTTTATTTTTTTAAATTGTTTTGTTTGTTTTGTTTTATGAATTTCTTGATCTCTAGTTTATTATTATTATTGGACAAGTAAAGTATGATGAGGTCATGTTGTAGGTGGATAAAGTCTAAGATGAAAAATTATTTTTTAAGTTTGATGAAATTACAAGAAAATTTCAACTTCATGTTAGATTTATCTTCTTTTATAAATGAAATCTGCGAGAAAGATTACATAACTAACTTTATATCTAATAAGATATCTTTTGAAACACATGATGGGTTAATTAAGTGAGTTTAAGGAATTGTTTTTATCTTGTCAAAATTCAGTTTAAAATTTACCGGATTTTGGTATAATATTAGATTTTGAAATTCGATTAAGAAGTTTATGGAATCTCAAAATCTGATTAAGGAGTGTACTAAATTTCAAAATTCAGTACATTTTTTAATCGGATTTTAAAATTTTAATATTCAGTCCAAATTCAGAATCATTTTAACCAGATTTCAAAATTTGGTACAACTTTTAACTAAATTTTAAAATATGATATTCAACCCTAAATTCTCAAATTCGATTTTTACTTACGCTTTTGACATATAATTCAATAAAACACATACAAAATTTTATTATCCGTAATATATGATAAATGTAATGTGTATCTTGTTTGTTGTTAGTGGCAACAACCTTCTTCAACATGGGTGTATGGTGCATTATGTGAAGAGAGGGATATGTGTTGCCTAAGGTACAGGGTGAAGGAGAGTGAAAACTGCGACGTAAGGGTTAGGAAAATTAATTTTGAGGAAAAGTAAGTGGTGGGTTAAATACAAGGAGAGAAAATAAATTACCTGATCAAAAAGTCTAAAGTCATTTTTTAGAAAAAATTGAGGTGCAGAAACAAAAATTGGAGGTGCAAGAAGAAGAAAAGTACACAAGATAAAGCTCACATATAGCCCAAAACCAAATACTATAAGGGCTCTCTTGATTATACGAAAGGGCTTTTTTATTCCTAGACTCATTATTATTATTACTAATTGTCACCCCATACAAACAGAGTAAAAATTCCTACTACTACCATCATTACTAGGGTGTTGCTTACTCCACCACCACACCTTTCTCCCTCCACCTCTCCTTTACTATTTTGTCTCTCAGTAAAATTATATTTTTAGGGTTATTATTTTTTAATTTTACCCATTCATAATTTATTTCACTAATAACTTATTCTAGTCCCGTACATGATTAAAATATTTTTCTTTCATTTTAACATTATATTCTTCCTCTCTTTCTTTCGTCGTTGTGAGATGCTACAAGTTGCAAATGTTGGTGGTGGTGGAAAGAATTATCAAACAGTCTCCCTCTCGTGGTGCAGTGTTGCTCTCGTGGTGCAGTGCGTGGAGTGCTTCCTCCAGGTGCGTATTCGAATAAACCTTGAAATAAACAGATGTTGACATTCGTGGAAGATGTCACCTCTGTTTAAAAGTTACGTTTTTTATTTTAGGGTTTGTTTTATTAGGGGACATCCGTTGAAGGATGTCACCTCCGTTGATGTATACTTCCTCATGCTGGTTGATGCTCTGAACACTCCTCGATGTTCCTCCACACCACGGTAGCGACGCTCCTTCACACTATGGTGGCAATGGAAGCTTTCAAACAAAAAAAAAACTGGGAAGAAAAAGAAATGAAAGTGCGGGAGGTGGGGAGGTGAAACGAAAATGGGGAATGGGGAATGGGGAAGAGAGTTCCGTGGGTTGGTGCTGGGAAAGTAAAATTAGGATTTCAAATTATTTAAAATAGGGTAAAAGTAAAAATCTTTTTAACTTAAGTATATAATTGTATTTAAAATAATGTGGGGAGGTGGAAGAAATATAGGGTGGTGGTGGAGGGAGAAACACCTTTATTACTACTACTAAGGAAGAAAAAGAGAGAACAAATTGCAAAAAAATATCATTTTAGAAAACTCATTCGTTCTGGAACTCATCTCGTGTTCTAGAAAAACTTATTCAAGACTCATTCCCCAAAATTCATTCAGAAAAGTATTACGAAAACTTGTTCCAAAAAACTTATTGCATTATAATTTTATGTGTTCCATAAAACTTATTCTAATTAATGTTATTCCAGATATCTGTTTTGAAAAACTCTGTTTCGAAAATCATGTTACACAAATTTTAAAATTTGTTTTGAAGATTTTCTTAAACAAATAATCTAGAAGTAATTTTTATAAGAGATAAAATGTCATTTTAAAAATTGAGAGTGCAGCGAAAAAGAAAAAAAAACGGAAGGAAATTTTGAATGTCTTCAGTGAAAAAGGCTTGTAAAACATGCAATCTAAAATTCTTAAAAGCTAAAGAACGTTATGTTCGCACTGCAAAATATTTATCTTTTAAAATAATTTATTTCATATTTAAAAAAACATCATTAAAATTTCAAATCCTATTGAAATCTGTTTGTAATTTAATTCGCTTTATACATGTTAATGATTTTCGCGTCATATGAAATTACCTTCAACCATCGCTTAATATAAATAATATTAAAAATCTTAACTATTCTTTTCTTGTCTTCTTCCCCCTATCTTTAAATCAGCACATAAATTCCGCACCTTTCTCTATTCTCAAATCATGCCACCATATTATATATAATTGAACTTATTATTACTCCACTACACACTATATATAAATATATTGTAAATATGATTTGGAATGAATACATGTGTATTGTGTTGAGGAAGAGACACGTTATGAATGTATTCGCTTACAAGACAAAAATTCAAATTCATCCAAGCAGCACACATTATTTTATTCATGGATTAGGTAACATAGTTGAAACTCGTGTTTTTCCGTATGTTGCGGGTAAAAGGAGCAGAGTGATCAGATGATGCGGCGGCACAGTGTAATGCCGTCACCAACGGGAAGCTGGCAAATCTCGACCCTTGAATCAAGTGCAAGTGCTTGATTCAGCTCTATCACAAAATCGCGATAATACTTAATATAATCCAAGAGAGGAGCATCGGATGGGGCGGCCACAGAGCCGTTCCACAGGGTGTTATCGTAGGCGATCATTCCCCCAATCTTGACAAGCTCAATCACCCTATTGTGATAGTTCAAGTAGTTATCCTTATCAGCATCGACGAAGATGAAATCGAAGCTTCCCTTGTTATTTTCCTGTTCATGTTCATGCAATGCAATACACATTCATCAACAAACACCATAGACTTATATACACATAATTTTGACACTGATTCTTTCTTTTTCTTGAAAACAATGTGCATGGATTGATTGAACTCACGTCTTTGATGAGTTGATCAAGAAGAGGAAGTGCTGGACCTTCTCTGAAGTCAATCTTGTGAGCCACTCCTGCCTTTTCAATCACAGGCAACCCCAGTTCATAATATTCCCTGCTAATATCCATTGCCAGGATCTGTTTCGTTTCAACAAAACCTTAATTTCATCACTTATATGCACCTTATATATGATATATATATATATATATATATATATATATAGATATGTTAATGTATATGTATGAATTAAGCACCTTTCCATCAGACGGAAGAGCGAGGGCAGTGGAAAGCAAGGAGTAACCGGTGTAGACGCCAATCTCCATGGTGTTCTTCGCATTGATCACCTTCAGTAACATCCTTAGAAGTTGTCCTTCGTCAGGTGGTGTAGCTAAGAGGTTCCTGTTTTACAACATAGGTATATTTAATGATGTTGTCACAATTAAGCTTTTGGATTTGAAAACCAACATAATCGATCGTGATCTTACCAAGGGTGTTTTTCCGTCAACTCGCGTAGCTCCTTCAAGCTCTCGTGCTCTCTTGGGTATACACTGGTCTCAAGTATATACTGCAAAACCAGTAATTGTAGATGGAATGAAAATGTTGGTATCGTTACTATGGAAAAAGAAGAAGAAAATGTTAGTAATGGAATGAACCTGATAGAGTGCATCGCTCTGAAGGAGACTCTTGTGACGGAGATGTTTGTGGCCAGGTATTTGAATTTGTTGTTGGTCTTCGTTGGTGATAGTCATGATTGATATCTGCCTATGGGATTTATTCTCTGAATATTTGCTCAAGGTAAACAATGGCCAAAACCTGTTATATATAGAAGCTAAGTGCAAATGTCAATGGGTTGTTATGGGGTTGGTAAGTTGAAGCTTCCGTATTCCTTTCAGTATAAAATAATATATTTGAAAGACCTTCAGGCAATCCTATAATTAACCTAACGTGACGATTATTCATTAATTATACTTATTATTTTATGATCCACACGTCATCATAACTAACACACGATCGTCTTTAAGTGTTTTGAAAATCTTAAATTTTTCTTCTAATAATGAAGGGAACTGTAGCAGTATTTGGATTTTTTTTTTTCTTTACAAATAAATATCCAGTGCATTATTAAGAAAAAAAAAAAGGTATATTTTCTCTCGTCTTGTGAAATTAGCCAACATCTCACTTCAATGTGCTAGAAAATAAAATATTTATTTTAATTAATATTTATGTAATAAAGGAAGCACCTCATTGTAGATTCCACTGATCCAGAATTTAGATTCTTCACAAATTACCGATAAAAGATGCTTAAATATTCACAAATGTACAAGTTAAGATCCTACCACAATTGATACAATCCAAATACTACGAGTACAAACATATGAATGACTCAGATAAAATACTTTAACGTAGTATAAGCTAACACAAAGACATTTTTTAAAATATTGATAATGTATAAATTAAATTCAAATAAAATCTATGTTACATATCTTTTAAGGAACAATATTATATATATATATATATATATATCTATCTATATGGTTTTAAAACACATTATTGCAATTCAAAACACATTCCTAAGTTCCTCTCATTGTTGCAATAGTGACTTATGTAGTCTATTTTAATAAAAAAAAAATAGGCTATTGTTCATTAATACCGTAACCTATTAAAAATTATCTACTACAATTTTTAACTATAGTAAAAAATATTTATTTTATACTATGTTCTAATTGACTATAATTTTTTACCTGTAGCCGAACATCTAAAAATAAGTTGAATATCTTCACTATAGTAATGTATTGTAAAAGAACAAAACATATGTAATAAAGTTTAGAATAATGTATGAAGTCAAAATTTTAGTGAAAATATCTATCAGGTATAAATACTTCATTATACTTTACTTTTATTCAATAAATTAATAAATTGAACAATACTTTCTTAAATAAACTGTTCATAAAATTGTAAAAAATACAGTATACTAGAACCTAAAGATTCAAAAATATCATTAAGGTAAATAATAGGAAATGATATATCAGATAGAATAATGTAGAATACACGTTTCCTTCTCTCTCTTTTTATTCGCTCTGCCATAAACAAATATTATCTTATTTTGAGTAATTTTATTTTAAATTTTAATATCTTTTCATTATTTTATTTTACTTCACTTATTTTAATTTTATTATTATTTTTTCCTCAATTCAACTGTAAGACATTACCTCTCCATGTACATGGATCTCTATATATTTAATCCCTCAATCAAAGTTTAAAACATGCAAATGTGTTTCAACTATCAGTAAAAAAAAATACGAAGCAGGTAGACACATGTTGATCCAGAATAATTTAATCCATGTAATATATGATACAGCCCACATGTTCAATCACTTTCATTATTTAATTTTAGGGTAAGATGTTGTGTGCTTAATCTCAAACATAAATTAAACTCACTAAACTTATAGAAAATGAGGGAAATAATAATCATGAACGAATATACCCATTAATTGTGATACGTTTTTCTGATTTTATGTTTGTAAAGTTTTATGATTATTAATAGTAGATACAATTCTATCAGAAGATCAATATTTATTTCAAAGTTGAAAACTTAGACAAAATAATTCTAACATCGAATCATTCTAAGGAGAAATGACCTTTACATAAAGTGTTAAAACAAAAATAAATGTTTTTAAATGAAGATACTACGAAACAAAGTCGTTTTAACAAAATGATTAACTTGTTAATCAAAGTATCATTTAAAGACTCCACACATAAAGGATTATTCAAAAACCAAATATTGACTCTATAACTTTCATAAATCAATCAGAAATGGACTGTTTCTATTGTACATAATGGACTTCTGAGTTTCAAAGACTTTTGTGTACATTCTATAAAAAATAATCGGCTGGCTATAAAAAAAACGACACGTGCACACGTGTTAACAAGTTGTTGAACACAACGTTTCAACAGAATTTTTTTTCAAACTTTATAGAAATAAATATAAATAAAGAATAGGAACAACTTGTATATAAATTAATTTTAACTTATATTTATAGATATAATGTTCTTAGAAATATGATTATTGTGAATGCAAAATTGTACCATGAAAGAAACAGCCCCTAGTTGATGCACTAAATGGGGTTATTTTACAAAAATATCAAAGTGGGTGTTTATTAAATGTATTTTCTAGAATGACTTGTAAAATCAAGTCACATTCTTTTTAATTTCAGGTATACATTTAGTTTTTTTAATTAATTTTCAAAAAAATTATTGTTTTATTTTTTTAAAATCATAGCAATTTAGTTTATCTGTTCAAATTGAAAAAAAAATGTCATAAAAAATATAACCTCTCAAATGTTGGACATTTGTTTTTTGCACCCCAAATTTCAACTTGCACCTATGGAGTGGTGAAATACCTAACTTATTCATATTTTTTTATTTTATCTTTTTCTTGCATATGTTGTGCACCCTTTTTATAATTTGGTGAATGTTTCATTCTCTACAGTGGTTTGTCCTTTTGTAAGTGTTTTCACTTATATTCCTTGAAAGTTAACAAGCCTTTTTCATTAATGTTGTATTTTTCAAATACTTACTTCATTTAAAATTATATTTTAGATGGTATAATTTATAATATACATTTTCTTTTTGCTATTAATTAGATTCTAAATTGTTGAAATATATTTTTGATTTTATATTTTAAAATATATTTTATATTGTATAATTTGAAATATAAATTTGTGTTCTAATATATAATAAAAAAATATAATATATAACATAAATTTGTATTTTAAATTGTACATTTCAAATACAAAATTATTAGATTATAGATTTCAAAATATAAAATTATATTTTGAATATTATATTTTATAATTCAAAAAGTTTAATATTTAACATTGGAATATTTTAAATTAATGGGAGTGTAAGAGCAAATTTCCTTATATGTATTCATAACATATAATTTATTCATGTTCATATCTCAAGGTAAATAACATATACCACACAAAAAAATCATTAATTATTAATGAATACAATTCATCAATAATAATAAAAACTCATCAAGAATTCAAATTTATAGATGAATTACTAACAATATTCAAGGATAAAATGCTCATTAATAAATTATATTAATTGTCAGAACCCATTAAAAACTCCAAGTAGTGGAAGTCAAGTGCCAAGGATTCGAATTTTTAGATAGTAGAAGACAGGTGTGCAGCGTTGAGTGGCCGATCGGTTTTAGTGACGGTAGTATTTAAGGCTAAATTTCAAACTTCGTGCCACTTTTCTGCATGCACCCTTCATCTTCAACCTTCTGAACCTCCATTTTCTCCTCCTTCTCTCTACAATCTCCACCTTCTCTCTAAGAATTCTCATCTTTTTCTTCTTCCGATCACAAATCAGGCACCGTTTGAACTCTTCTGACGTCAAGGACTTTCATTTAAACCGATTAAGTTGTGGTTTAAACGGGTGAGTACTTCTATTATAAGACCGTTCATTTTTCTGTCACGTGCAAACCCAGATTATGGTTGCATGAGTTTATCATCTCATTCTGAGTATTTTTGGTCTTTCGTTTGGTTAGTTTCATAAAGCGTGACTGTAAAATTCTAAGATTTCTGGTAGTGGTGAGCCAAATACTACATCGTTTAGCGTTCGACTATGTTTAGAGGTAAGGGAAGCTTGTAATTTAATTATAATTATTGTTTGATGATGATTTATTGGATGGTATGATGTTATGTTTGATGAGTTGGTTGATCTTGTAATACCACATGTTTGTTTGGGTGTATTGTTGATTTAGGAAAAGGTATAACTGGGTAGAAACATAGTTGATCGTGATTCTACATTAATCTGCATAATTCTCGTAACCGAAAGTCATTATTGACTGTTCGGTTTATCCTTGGGTATTCGGTCTGAACTAGATTCTTCTTCTGTGGAGAATTTCAGTTAATAACCGATCGGTTTCCTCTTAGTATAATTGTAAGTAAGCGTTCGGTCTAAGTATGGTTTCTTCTTTTATGCTTCCTAAATAGTTAGTTAATATATTCTATAATATTTAAAGTCGTAGACGTTATCTTTATCCTTCATTGAAAATAAGTGTTGTGTAATTGTGTGTGTGTGTGTATTCCTTCATTTTGATTTAAGTTCAGTAGTGTTCGGTCTTGAATCAAGCGTTCGGTCTCAGTAGTGCTCGATTTTGAACCAAGCGCTCGGTCTTTATAGTGGTTGGTCTTTAACCAAGCGCTCGATATTTTATTATAACCATTGTGTATTCTCTTTGAACTAAGAGTGTTCGGTCCAAGTCAATAGTATTCAGTTAAATATTGTAGGGTTCGGTGAAGTTCTTAGGTTCTAGCAATAGTTATTATGATTTTCGGTTAAGTCTAAATTACATGTAATATTTAGTATTTGGTACATTCTTAGGAGTTCGGTTTAGTAAAATACTGTTTTGTAGTAACTGTTGAGTAGAAGGTAAACGTTCAAATCCTATTGCTAGTGTTCAGTTTATGATGAGTTTTATCTAGAATGGACCGTTCGGTTCTATTCTGTATATAAGTGGAAGACCGCTCGATCGTACACTAAGTGTTCAGCTGTGTTAGTCTGGAACGTATTCAAAACGTTCGGTCTTGTCTCTAGGGGAAATGTTATTGTTCAGTTTTAGTTTCAGATGGGATCGGTTTTTATCAGTTCGGTTTGATTTTATTATGGAATATAAATAGAATAGTATGGAAGTGAAAGAGTATTCCAGGGAGGAATATCTCATGAGTGGTTATTGAATGGTAGAGTATGAATGTGGTTATGCTTAGCT